CTAAACATCCTTGGAAAGTCCCAATTTTTCTCAAACCCTTGGAAAAATCTGTTGGCAAAGTTCCATTGGGTCATTCCAGAAAACATCCATACCTCCCCCACAGAGGAAATTGGAAGTTAACCCCCCTACCCCTTCAGATTTTCTAATACATTTACTATTATCAGAAACATTTTTTTCTCCCCTCCCCCTCCGGACAGCAGAAATTTCCTCCGTGGGGGGAGTGTGGATCTTTTCTGGAACGACCCATTGCAAGAAAATCACCCCTTTCAGAAATTTCCCCATTTTTTTTTTTATTTTCTTGTAATTGAGTAGTCATCCTTAATATGACCTCTTTAAAATTGTCAGAGGTTTCTTGAGATCCTTCATAACTTTTTCCATTCTGTCACTTAACCCACTCAAAAATAACTTGGTTGGAAATTTGAGACCCCTTGGAAATGCTTTTTCGACTCCCTCAGCCCATTACTGTAACAGTCACCAGAATGTTCTGGAATTTTACAGATAACCATAATTTGTTAGAAATATCAAATCACATCAGATTATTTCTCTTCTGTTTAATTCCATGTCAATTTCCCACCATTTACAATACAGAACATGCAAAAGATGCATTGGATCTTGCTCAAGTGCAGGAAACAACCAAACAGTTGGCAAAAGAAGAAAAAATTAAGGTTCATCATTTTAATATTATTATTGATAGATGATCAGTGTCGGACTGAACGATCATTGAGCACTAAGTGATAGTGTCGTAATTATTATAGTAATTTATTATGTTTAGTTTTACTTTACTGTATCAATGGACCAATCCCATATTAAATTAAATCAAAATTTTGATCTTAACAAGTCTAGACAAGATTCCATCACAGCATGAAAGAGCATCACAAAATTAGTAATATTCCAAAGTTTCGTTGCGAAATGTTGTAAAATGTGGATAATATAGCCTTGCAAAATTTGTAATTTTCAGTCATTTTGTATTACAAATGTGAAATGGTTACCACTTCGGAAAATTTCCCGCACGTAATACAAAATGACTGAAAATTGCAAACTTCACAAGGCTATATTATCCACATTTTGCAACGAAACTCTGGAATATTGCTAATTTTGTGATGCTCTTTCAAGCTGTGATGAAAATTTTGGTTAATGTGGGATTGGTCCATTGTTTACACTATTTAGGAATATGAATTGGGGATCAAGCAAATGGATATTGAAAGGATGCGAGCAGAACAAGAAGAAAGAAGGAAAACAATGGCAGAAGAAGCTAAACATAATCAACAGGTGAAGTAGAAGGCATAGATGATGTCAACAAAATGACAAGCATCCATAACTCTCCAGTTCAATATAGTCTTGAAAGTCCTATTTTCTGCATTCTCAAATGACCAGGATTAGAAAGAATGTATGGTCCTAGAACACCACTTCGTATCCCCAACATTTCTTTATCAGATTGGGAAAACTAATTGCAAAAGTTCAATATTAAGTCTTGATATTTTATGCATATGAAGTGTTATTAGGGTCATAATTCAAATAGAAATTCTATTGTGTTAACACTCAATTATATGTTTCTGTTATTCGAATTTGAATAACATAATTTGAAATCGAATAACATAATTTGAAATCGAATAATACAATTTGAAATCAAATTCCATAACTCCTTTTCAAAAGCCAGAACTCTGTTTTCAAGTGCTAAAACTCTGTTTTCAAATGCCAGATCTACCGTTTTGAAATGCCAGAACTCTGTTTTCGAATGCCAGAATTCCGTTTTTAAATGCTAAAACTCCACCGTCTTCAAATGCCAGAACTCCTTTTTCAAATCCCAAAACTCAGTTTTCAAATTCCAGAACTACCTTTTCAAAAGCCAGAACTTCGTTTTCAAATGCCAAAACTCCGTTTTCAAATGCCAAAACTCAGTTTTCAAATGCCCGAACTCCTTTTTCATAAGCCAGAACTCCGTTTTCAAATGCCAAAACTCTGTTTTTAAATGCCAGATCTACCGTTTTGAAATGTTACATCCCAAACCCTGTAAAATGTCTATTTATTAAATAGCACTTTTGTCCTTCACAGAAAGCCCAGTATCAAGACCAACTGGCAAGAAAGCGTTATGAAGATCAATTGTCACAGCAGGTAGCGCTGAAATCATGCATCTTGTGTAATACCATCTCTTTTTCATCGTAATTTTGATATGTTTAAAATTATAGCGGAGTGTGAATGATGAAAATTTAAGAAGACAGGAGGAATCTGTGAAAAAACAAGAAGCTTTAAGAAAAAGTATGGCAAATATTCACTGTAAAATTCTAATGCAAGAATGAAAGTTAACCAATTGAGTGTCAGAAATAATAAATGCATTAGAGTACAATGTCAAATTGTGACTTAATGGTTAATATGCATTTATTTTAGTACTAGTGATGAATTTCCATTTGTCAAATGTTATGTGTAATACCTAAAAATTCAGAGTCAATCAAATTATGGCTTTTTGTTTAGAGACAATTGAGTATGAAGCGCAACTCAAGCACCAAAATGAAATGAAAAAGCTTGAAGCAGAATTGAAAGGAAAGTACGTTCCACAAAGTCACGAACATACATTTTGATAAAGATATCTTTTGTCATGCTTGGAATTGTAGCAAGAACAATTTCATTCTGTTATTGCTAAATTTTAGAGCAAAGATTGAACGTGAAAATCGTGATATTCGCCTTGAACAGATAAAAGTTGAAGCAGCGGAAAGAAGGCAAACTATTTTGGAGTCGATAAAGTAAGTGAGAAAATGTATAAACTCACAAGAGTTACGCGCATTAACCAGAATTGTATTCGTCAAAAAATCATTGCGCGTTAAATGAAATACATCCTTCTGAAAAGTATATTATTTTGGCTACAGACCCTCGTTTTCGTGTGTGGGACATTAGTTAGAGCCTAACCTGTCAATCACGAAAGCAAGGCTCTTTAGCCATAGTGACATAGTGGTCTTCGCCACTGAACAGCACTAAATACTACACTCTCCATGTGGTTTCATAAATGACACTAAAATGTTAAATGTAATCAGATTGACTGGAAAACAGCCTCCAATGAAAACTTATTGTGAAACAATAAGGTATCTTATTGTTTCACAATAAGGTATCTTATTGTTTCACAATAAGGTATAACTTTACGAAGATGACCAACAATGTATCATGATTTATGTGTTTATTAGGACAGCCGGCAGTATTTTGGGCACAGGAATCAATACGTTCATATCGGATTGGGATCGCGTAACTGCTGCGGCAAGTATTGGTGCAATTATGTTTTTTAACTGTTCTACTATTCTTGGGTTTCAGTCACGTGATATTTTAGCACAATTTGAACTGAGGTTAACTAAAATTACAAAGAAACGAAATGAATGTCAACGCATATTATGCAAATGAGTTCTCCAACTATCATAAAAGCCAATATAAAACAACCTAAGCAATTTAAAAGCCGTCATATGAAACCCAAGAATATCTGATTAGTCATTCACATATTTTGGAATGGTAATACACTCCGCCCTAGTATAAACCCCCAGACTATGTAAATGCACGTCACTAACACCATTATTTATAAAGTGTTCCCTTACTATTTTAGGCTGCGGGGATTACACTTTTTGCCTTCGGTATTTACGCTGCAAGACAGGCGACTGGAGTTGTAGGGAGGTAGGAATATTTTCACCAAGCAAGAACAATTTGGTAATTCTTGTATGTATCTCCAATATTTCTATCCTTTCTAGGTATATAGAAGCAAGATTAGGCAAGCCATCATTAATTCGAGAAACCTCCAGATTAACTGCTGTAGGTGCAGTAAGACATCCGATTTTGGTACGTTTGGCTTTTTTTATTATGCATTATTCAGCTAGCTCGCTCCCCATCGGCGCTTCGACTAATTACATCAAGTACTACGCTTACTTTTATTACCTACTTAGCCTAGACTATTTATCTTTACAACAATTGAGACATTACTTTCTTAACTTTGTTTATCCTAACCCACCATAACTTTCCTTGTGGGAGGAAACTGGAACATCCGGAGAAAACTCACGATTTTCGGCA